ACTCATGATGGATGAGAATGAAACTTTTTCTGAATTTTATACCAAACTTTGTGTCATTGTGAAGGCATGCTCAAGTTTAGGTGAAAAAATTCCAGAAGATAGGGTTGTGAAAAAGATTTTGAGATCTTTGCCTCAACGGTTTCAACCAAAGATCACGGCTATTGAAGAGATTCATAACTTGAACGCCTTGAAAGTTCAAGAACTCATAGAGTCTGTACAAACTTACGAGATGAAACATCTAGCTCCTAAAAAGAGAAAAAGTGTTGCTTTCAAAGTTGTGAATGAAGAAGATGATGGGCATTCAAATGAGGATTGCAGTGATGAGGAATTAACGATTCTTACAAGACGATTCATGAACTTTCTCAAGAATCAAGATCCAAGGATTCGAGATTCAAAAGGTATAAGTTCTAAAATTAGGTTTGTTGACTATATTGATGGTGGGTCTAAATCTCGCAGGTCAATGAACGAAAGAATCTAAGAGAAAAGGTTCATTGTTTCGAACATGAAGATTATGGACACATATCTTTGGAATGTGCCAACACCTTAAAGAGGCAAAAGGATGGGAAGAAAAAGGCACTGCATACTACCTGGAGTGATAGTGATTCTGATTGTGAAAATAATAAGAAGGCCATTGCACTTATCACAACCGTAAGCTTGGATGAACCAATGAAGAAGGATGATGATTGTGAAGATATGGATATTCAGTTTATCATGAACAAATATGATGATTTGTGGGCTGCTTCTCAGAAACTCAGTAAACAAAATGAAGAATTCGTAAAATCCATTGTTGTGCTGAAGCTGGAAAATTGCAGGATTGCAAACAAGTTTCAATCTCCTGACGAAGATTCCGAAAAGGTAAATGCATGTATGAATGACAAATTGATGTTTTTGTAGAAAAAATTGACTGATCAGAATAAATTAATTGCATTTCTAATTTTTCACAACAAAGCCCTTGAACTTGAACTTAAAAATTCAAAGGAAATGATCGTTTCTTTAACCATTGGTGCAGAAAAAAATTGGCATGATGATTAGCATGGGAAGAAGAGATGGTGACAAATGAGGCTTGGGATTTGAACCAAGTAATAAGTCTTCCGCTGTGTCTAAAACAAAAATTTTCAAATCCTCTTCATCTATTGAACCTTCTGCCGCTCATGAAGTCAAGAAATTCATTCCAATTTGTCACTTTTTGTGGAACTGATGGGCACATAAGACCAAGATGCAATAAGCTTCGAAACGAATTTGTTCTTTCAAATTTTTATGTCATGGGTGGAAAAGAGATAAAACGCTTATCCAAACTATCTTCTTGTCATTGTTTGCCATCAACTAAGACAAAGTTTGTTTAGAGGAAAAAGTAAAATCATAATTGTATGTTTGCCTCCACTAATGTTGTGCATGAACCTACTGCGTTAGAAAATTTGGATCTTAAATGTCTTGCTGGAAAAGCTTTATATAATCTTCGATTTGACACTCTTAGAATGTCTTTAGGTATTTGTTCTTTTGAATAATTGTTTGTATGCATGCCAAAAGACTCCAGATATTCTCTCCTCTATTTCTATAACATAAATTGAATTAAATTCTCAGTATTTTGTTCAGCACGTGCAGGGATTGATAAGAGACATCAGTCCTGCTGACGTCTGGGAGATTTTGCTGATCTTAGATTGGATTTTTGGCATTGGATCACCTTGGATTTATGTGAATGGTTCTCGGCTATCTTTGTTTTTTTATAAGGTCAATTAAATGCTCTTTGTATTAAATTGCATGTCTCACGTATAGCACATACACTCTAATCTTCCTTAATAATTTTGAATGAAACCTCACCTTGCCCTTGTCTTGATACTAGATTTGCATTGTACTTTTTGCTACTGAGCTCACAAATTTATAATATCTCTTTCATTAGAAGTAAAGTAAAATAAGTGATTCATCCTTGCCAAGTAACCGGGCCTCTTATCTAACGAACGTTGAGATTCACATCAAAAAGCTTTGATCTTGTACACATTGTTCCCTTTTGTAGCCTACATGACTCGGGTTAGTACATCCTTAGGGTGCTTTAACAACCATTGTCTTAAAATCAACTGAGTTGAGCACAATGATTTAACACTCGTTACATGCGTCTTGTAGAAAGCTTGATAAAGTTAGCATTAAAAAAAATTTTAAAAAAAAAAAAAAGGTGAAAGTGGTGACCTCTGTATGCATTTTGTATGTGTTTTTTCCATGTTCTTGGCTTGTTCTTGGTTGGACTTTTTCTTTATTATTAAGCAAGTTTAGTCACATAACACGAGATTGGGCTTTGATATTTGCTCATTTGATGGACTTTATTTCTTACAAATACTTTTGATTCTCCATTTTATAATCCTTGTGTTTGATTAAACCTTTGTGATTTGATGTGCCTTAGATCCTGAAAGGTTTTGCTTCAAATGCTTCTATACAGATATTAGTATTGGCTCTACTTGTCTATCCTTATGCATAGTGTTGACATGTACTCATGATTTTTGTTTTTTGTTTTTTGGCATGTATGAAGAAAGAGTTTTGGGTTCTTATTAAGCGTAGTAGTTGGTGATTCTATATGCTTTGATTGATGTCTTTGTGGTGTTGTTCTCTTTTTCTAAGTGTTGTTTATGTTCTTTTTTATTATTTAGTTTTTTTTGTGGCTTGATCTTTTATTTATAAAGAAAAATTTAAAAAGAAGGAAAAAAAAGATGAATTTTTTTGTTTTCAAACATAGTGTCGTTTTATGCTTCTTGTTTAATTGTGCAACTAGGCTCTGCTTCATGTTACTAAGACGGACACATGACAAACTGAATCTAAGGATTGCAGTGTCATTATGAATCCTATCAGTTGCAAACCTGTGGCACAGCATGTTCACAAGAACATTTCTTTGGAAATATGTATGACACAATGAAGAGCAGAAGACATGTAACCAAAGAGGTAAGTAACATATATTGTTTATATGATTGAACCTAAAATTGTGTATGTTGTTCTTGCAGGTGATGAATGGATCTTGGCTATAAAAGATGAGACTTTTGCACCCATTGCACATATGGAATTGGTGAGGTTATTGCTCGTTGTCACTCGACAAGATAAAGCCCCTTACATGCTTCCTTGGTTAATCTCTATGCCTTTATATGTTGGGATTGCAAGCTGATTTTTTTCCTCTTATATATGCTCCCTTATGTTCTTTGCTTGCCCTTTGGATTTCCTAACAAAAAGAGGGAGAGATGACTGTGTGAAATTATGATAAAAAGGGGAGAGATTGTGTTGTGGAATTAAGGGGGAGTTGTGTTGTAATTTTACTTTGAATTACATTTCTTCTCCCACATGCTTCAGTGGTCTTGTTGTTTCATAATGTGCAGGGTTTTAGAGCTTCGAGTTTAGAGTAGGATTTCATTTGTTAAATCCCATGCAATTTCTTTTGAGTTGTAATAGGTGTTTTGTCTAGTAAATTCCAAAGGGGTAGATTGTTAGTATGAAAATTGTATTGTCATTTCCTAGACTCTAGCATAGGTCGGGAATTAGGGTGTGAATATCTTTTACTGGAAGTTTTGGCACAACACATTCAATCCCGGATTTTGGAAGAAAAACTTGATCAATACGAGGAAACTGATTTCAGGTAAATCATGACATAATCATGCATTCAATATAGGATTCTTAGTTGGAGTTATTTTCACTCAAGCACTTTTATATTAGTCCTATGTTAGTCCTATTTTTAATACGATTAGATTTTTATCTTTTGAGATTACTTTCCTAGTTGGACTCTATTTTGATTTAAGTTAAAATATAATGTTTTCATCATCTTGTGCTAAAATATGAATATGGGTTGAATGTATTAGGTTGAGTTTTATTATTTTCTATAAGGAGGTATATATAGGAGTTTACATGGGGGTCTTACAAGAATTAGATACAGTAAAGAATTAGGAAAGTATCTCTTAATCGGTGGAAATCTCACGCCTGGTGCGTGAGAAAGTAAAAATTAAAATAAAATAAAAAGAAAGCCTAAGCAGGGTTTAAAATAAACTTCTCTTATAAAAATATCTCCAAAAATCTTACAACGTTACAATTAATAAATAAAGCTCTATCATTCTCATCTAATTCAGCCTCAACTGGTTTATTTCTTTTCTTGCCCACTAATTCATCTGAAAAATTGAACAGGGTAAGGTGTGGGCAACCACAACTCAGTAGGGACATGAGACCTTACCACAGTATATTGATATAACTAAATTAAGTGACAAGCAATCACACAACCAAATATCACATTAATAATAATAATATATAATAATAATGCATAAATGTTCTTCATCTACTCCCGTTAATTCAAATAACTTGATAAGCAGACATGCACGTCCCATACCATGCTTATACCACTTGGTCCCGAATGCCCATTTATATGAACTAACACCCATTTCAATCATCCTGTAATTCCCCTTTTGTTAGTCATCTTGTCTAACTCCCTTTTGCCAGTCCCGAATCATCCAATAAAAACCATGTGCACTGTGGGATCCCTGAGACCTAGTACCTGCCAATGCCCAACTTGGTAAGTGAGTCATGAAATACTCTTCCACAAACAACTTTGGTTAAGATATTTGCCAGTTCATCTTCTGATTTTACGAATGGTAGGTGGATGATCTTTTTCTCAATTTTTTCTTTGATAAAATGTCTATCCACCTCAACATGTTTGGTTCGATCATGTTGAACTGGATTATGGGCAATATCGATAGCTGACTTGTTGTCACAATGCAACTTCATTGGCTTTCTGGCTTGAAGCCCAATTCTGTCAAGAGTCTTCTGATCCGCAATAATTCAAAAACTCCATGAGCCATTCCTCGATACTCTGCTTCTGCACTAGATTGAGAAACCACATTTTGCTTTTTACTCCGCCAAGTGACTAGGTTACCTCCCACGAATGTAAAGTAACCTGAAGTAGAACGTCTATCTGTAATAGAACCAACTCAATCAGCATATGTGAATCCAACAACTTCAAGATCTCCATTTTTAGAGAACATTAATCATTTCCCAAGGGCTGACTTTAAGTATCTTAAGATCCGATCAACTGCATTCCTATGAGAAACACTGGGCGAATGCATAAACTGACTAACCACTCTTACAACATATGCAATATCTGGTCTTATGTGTGCCAGGTATATCAACCTTCCAAAAAGGCGTTGGTACTGTTCCTTTTTGGTTGGTTCTTGGTCCATGTCTTCACACAACTTTTGATTCATCTCAATGGCTGTATCAGCAAGCTTACATCCAAGCATTCCTGTTTCAGTGAGTAGATCTATTACATACTTCCTTTGACACATAAATATACCAATTTTTGATCTTGCTACTTCGATTCCGAGAAGGTACTTCAGGTCACCTAAATCCTTCATCTCAAATTCTTGAGACAAATACTTTTGCAACTTCAGTTGCTCTTCTGTGTCGTTTCCAGTTACGATTATGTCATCTACATAAACAATTAATGCAGTAAGTTTTCCTTCATCACGCTTCAAGAATAGGGTGTGATCTGAATTACTCTGTGTATATCCAAAATTTTCATAAATTTAGTGAATCTGCCAAACCATGCCCTGGGAGATTACTTTAACCCATATAATGACTTTCTGAGCTTATAAACTTGATTTTTCTTGTCATGAGCTGAATTACATCCTGGGGGTAAGTCCATATATACTTCTTCTTCCAAGTCTCCATGTAAGAATGCATTTTTGACATCAAACTGATGTAGTGGCCAATCAAGATTTGCTGCTATAGACAATAGGACTATAATAATGTTAATCTTGGCTACTGGGGCAAAGGTCTCTTCGTAGTCTATCCCATATCTCTATGTGTACCCCTTCGCCACCAATCTAGCTTTATATCTTTCAACGGATCCATCTGCTTTAAGTTTCACAGTATAAATCCATATGCATCCTACTGTCTTCTTCCCATGGGGTAAAGGCACGAGTTCCTATGTGACATTCTTTTGGAGAGCTTGCATTTCTTCATTCATAGCTTCTTTCCATTTTGGGTCTTCTAGTGCTTTAGTTACACTATTGGGGACAGATATGTCAACCAACTGCGTCACATAGTGCACACGTGACTTTAATAATCTCCTGAGAGATATATAATTATTGATGGGGCATTTCCCTTTGGCTTTAAGATCTGCTTCATATTGTACTCGAGGTTTGCCACGGTTTCTTTTCTGGAAGCTGATATGTAGGCTCTGTGCTTTCTGATATCAAATCATCATGGGATATTTCATTAGTGTTATCAGTTTCAGGAAAAGATGTTACCTGAATGATTTCCTCAGCAGGTGATTGGTGCGGTACTAAAGCTGAAGCGGGCAAAATCTCATAAAACGGTTCAATTTCCTCTTCTTGATTTTGACAACGTGCAGACAACTGGTCGTTTTCCTCTGGGGACTGGTCACTGTTTGCTGGCGACTAGTCGTTTTGAAGTAGGTTCTTTGTAGATGAATAACTAAGGGGAGGTGACCGGTTGCTTTCCACTGGCAACTGATCATTTTGATGCCGAGTGATGTCCTGGGGAAAAAAATCGAGAATTGGAGCAGTGGTGGATTCTCGATACTCCTCCTAGGCTGTTAAGAAATATAAGTCATGTTCTCTAAATACAACATCTATGGAGGTGAAGACCTTCTGACTGGGAGGATGATAACACCGGTATCCTTTCTGATGAGGTGCATAGCCAATGAAAACACATTTTTCGACTCGGGGATCCAATTTACTTTGTTGGTAATCATGTAAGTGGACAAATACAACATAGCCAAAAATTCGAGGATCTAGGTTTGGGGTGGGAGGTGTTTGGATATGGTGGTGAAGTGTTTGAAGTGGTGCTTGGAAATTTAGGATACTAGAGGGAATCCGATTGATAAGGTATGTTGCAGAGACCACAGCTTTGCCCCAAAAGTGTCGTGTTATATTGGCACCAAAGAGAGAGGCACGAATGACTTCCAATAAGTGTCTGTTCTTTCTTTCAAAAACCCCATTCTGTTGGGGAGTGTAAGGGCATGAGCGTTGATGTATGATGCTATTATCTTATAAGAACTGGTTAAGATCATGGTTGAGAAATTCTCCGCCATTGTCAAAACAAATAACCTGAATTCTGGCATGAAACTGAGTCTCCACCATTTAATAAAACTGTTGAAACCTGGAACTGACTTCCTCTTTAGTTTTGAGCAGGGAAACCCAAGTCATGTGTGTGCAATCATCTATAAACGTGACCAACCATCGCGCCCCTGCCAGAGTGGTAATTTTAGCAGGTCCCCAAACATCAGAATGAAGAAGGGAAAATGGAACCAAACTCTTATTTGAACTTAATGTGAATGAGATACGATGGCTCTTAGCCAATTCACACGTATCACATTGGAAGCTGGAAACATCAAGACTGGAAAATAATGATGGAAACAACTTCTTAAGATAACCGAATGAGGCATGCCCAAGACGTTTATGCCATAACCAAATTTTGTCTCTCTCCCCCTCAGAACGAGTTTCACTGGTTCTGAAAACTTGACTAACCTTGACCTCATTATCCGATGCCCAGTCTAAGTAGTAAAGTTTGCCCCATCGAGTACCACAACCAATCATCTTTCCAGTGAGGATGTCCTGAAAAACACAATGATTCTGCCAAAAAGTTACTGTACATCCCAAAGTAGTAGTAAGTTGTGCAACAGATAACAAGTTATGGTCCAAAGATGGAACAATTAATACAGAATCCAGATGTATGGAAGTAGAGAGAGATAGAGAGTCATGCCCAACCACAGGGGAGGGGGTACCATTAGCATTAGACACCGCCGACAGAGTGAATGATTTGCAACTAATAAGTTGGCTAGGATCAAAAGTCATGTGATCCGTAGCACCTAAGTCGATAATCCAGCGGATTTTTGAGATGACGTATGAAATGTAGAACCTTTGGTGGTGGCGATAGAAGTATGAGTCCAAGTAGCCTGGCCAACAGGATTGACCGCATGCTTCTTTGAGTCTGCAAGAAGGGGGAGAATCGTAGTTGTTCTTAACAAAGTAAGATGTGATATGAGAATATGAGGAATTGTGATTGGAGGAAGTTGATGTATGAATTTGATGTAGGAATTAGATTTGAGATAAGGGTTTAAAGAAGAAGAGAGAGATAGAGAGTCATCCCCAACCACAGGGGAGGGGGTACCATTAGCATTAGACACCGCCGACAGAGTGGATGATTTGCAACTAATAAGTTGGCCAGGATCAAAAGTCATGTGATCCGTAGAACCTGAGTCGATAATCCAGCGGATTTTTGAGATGATGTATGAAAAGTAGAACCTTTGGTGGTGGCGATAGAAGTATGAGTCCAAGTAGCCTGGCCAACAGGATTGACCGCATGCTTCCTTGAGTCTGCAAGAAGGGGGAGAATCGTAGTTGTTCTTAACATTGCAGCGGAAGTAAGATGTGATATGAGGAATTGTGATTGGAGGAATTTGATGTATGAATTTGATGTAGGAATTAGATTTAAGATAAGGGTTTAGAGACAACCTAGGATCGATTACTCTGATACCATGCTAAAATATGAATATGGTTTGAATGTATTAGGTTGAGTTTTATTCTTCTCCATAAGGAGGTATATAAGAGTTTACATAGGGGTCTTATAAGGAATTAGATATAGTAAAGAATTATGAAAGTATCTCCTAATTGTACAATGATTTATCACTTATATAAAAAATAGGAAAGTAAATCCCTTAATTAATCAAGGAAGTAAATCTCCTTGATTAATTAGGAGACTCATGTCAACATCTTGGACTTGGAAAATATGTTTTAATTAATATCCTATTTGGTTTCGTTGTTCACATCTTGACATACATTGTTTCATTGGATGAACAATTGATTGGAGTGGAAATGATAAGCTGACAAAACCATATAGGATTCTAAGACCATCAAATTGAATGAATGGCAAGATATTAAGGTGTGGTTGTGGGCCTTCACGTGCAATGTTGAGAATGAGTTTTGCATAAATCATTGTGTGCATCTCTTTTGGAAGACATAGCTTTTGATATTTGTGTTGAGCATATAGAATTCTTAAGAAAAAGCTGTTGTGCATATTTTTCAGATAAGTCATCAAGTGTTCCTTGTTTACTTGGTGATTTATCAAATCCTTTCATCATTCGTATCGCATTCATATGCATGTCAGTGACTCATACGATTGAGGGCACCAAGACCGTGGTGGCAGTTTTCCTCTAGCGAGCTTGAAGCAATCGTGACTAGTATTGTATTCAACAGAAGGAGTGTCGAAGATCATCCCGTGACAGAAGTTGAGTTACGAAGAAGTTAGTAAACATTATCTAGAATGTGTCTAAGATAAGTGTGTGAGTACTTCTTGTAATCATCGTTCTATAGTGGATTTGTGTTGGACTAAGGAGTCTCATGGATTTTCCCAGAGGTGGGGTTTTACCACGTAAAATAATTCTCTGTGTGTTCCTTTATTTTATGTTCAGCGCGTTTCAAGATTGATGAACCATATTATTTTTTGTTTATTGATTATAATCTTAAATTGGCCTATTCACCCCTCTCTAGGCATTTTTAGTCATCTTACAAGTAATTTCACATATGCTGCAGACCCAGTGACTGTGTTATGATGCTCAAGCTGGCGTTGTTGAGTGATAGGTCTTAGACTAAGGCGGAACGAAGACCCACTCGAGCGGCAAGTCTCAAACTTGAGCGGAAAATCCTTTGGGGTGGTCGGAATTTGTCCCCCTGCTAGTGCCCGCCTTGCGTTCAATTAAATGTCTGAGAGAGACTTTGTTGTTTTGTCATTGGTTGCAGATGTTGAGGGAGTTTCTAATGAACTTGTTCTTTTAATAGTCCTAGCAAAGAGTGGAGGAACTTGAGCTCTTCATGTTTTTACAATTTCTAAGGAGGACAAGGACTTGTTTGAGGTACATGAGATTTTCAATTCTTCGTGTTTCACATCATCAAGCTTGGTATAAATCAACATTTGGTTTGAATGTGTATAGAGAGAGCTTTAAAACCTTGAAGAGGAACAACACCAGAGGGTTTGTGGATTTCAAGATAAATTTGATTTCTGCCTTACATAAACTTGTTTTCTTCGAAAATTCCCTTAACAATTGTTAGTTTTAGGACTGTTAGAATTGGCTTTCCTTGCCAAATGTGCACTTTCATGTAATTCCTCTTAGCTCATCATTAGAAATTAGGCATTGGGTATTTGCTACAAAGTTGAAGTACATTAAAGAGCTTATGAGGCTACAAAACCAAGATAATTTGTGCATTCATTTATAATCACTACTACAAAAAAGGCAAAAGATGACGGGAATTCACCGTCGTGTATTCGGTTTTCAAACCGTCGTGAAATCGACTGACATCTATTTGGGTGTCAAACTACTACGGCTTTTCACCGTCGTTGTTTATTTGTAACGACGACGGTTTTTAAAGAAAATCGTTGTTGTTTAGAGGTAAAGATCGTTAATTATAGGAGGAAAGACGACTGTTTTTAATAAAGTCGTCGTGTATTGTATGTAAAGAGGACGATTTTTTATGAAAACCGTCGTGGATTGTTTGTAGAGACCGTCGTGGATTTTTTATAAAAACTGTCATCTTTACATACAATAGACGACCTTTTAAAAAAAAGGTCATATTTACTTCACAATAGACGACCCTTTTTAAAATAAATCGTCATCTTTACATATAACAGACGACCTTTTTTTAAACAAACCATCATCCTTACATATAATAGACGACCCTTTTTTACAAAAATCATCATCTTTACATACAATAGACGACCCTTTTAAAAAAATGTCATCTTTACTTCACAATAGATGACCATTTTTAAAAAAAAACCGTCATCTTTACATATAATAGATGACCTTTTTAAAAAAAACCGTCATCTTTACATATAATAGACGTCATTTTTTTATAAAAATCGTCATCTTTACATACAATAGACGACCCTTTTAAAAAAGGTCACTTTACATACAATAGATGACCCTTTTAAAAAAGGTCATCTTTACTTCACAATAGACGACCCTTTTTTATAAAAAAAAAAACCATCATCTTTACATATAATAGATGACCTTTTTAAAAAAAACCATCATCTTTACATATAATAGACGACCTTTTTTTTAAATAAAAATCGTCATCTTTACCTATAATAGATGACCTTTTTTTTTTATAAAAACCGTCGTTAATTATCTGTAAAGACCATGATTTATTATAAAAACCGTCGTCTAATAAGTTTCTAAACTGCTACATTTTAGTTCTTTTTGATTTCCTATGATGCTATACAACGATTTTAACTAGAAAACCAACCATAATGCTTTATTAATGAATATATAATAGTTTCATTCATAAAACTTGAAGATTCAATAGTTATTACATAGTTAACCAATCTTTATTCTACAACAAACATAATTCCTAACAAGACCTACGTACTCCTAATCTAAGCATTCGTCATCCAAACATACAAATGATGCACAACTGAAGTCTCCTCCATCATCCCTGTAAATAAATCAAAATGACAAAGAGAGAA